AACTGTTTAGTCGCACAACCTATGAGCTTATATGGAGGTACACTACTCGATTTTTAGTGTAACTAAACAATTGAAGGATGCGAAACAATCGACAAACGCAACGGTTGTGCGATAATTTAGTCAAATAGGTTTTTTTGTACAGTTAAGGCCCTTCGCGGTATTACAATAACAGATAAATTACCTCTTTCCTTGACTCTTAGAAACTGTGTTATTACAACTATCAAATTGCAATGCAACTGAACGTGACTAAATAACATATACCTCTGTACTTTTATCATGCAGATATATTTAACGAACATTCCCAACTGTCACCCCGTTCTGTCCCCACGTGAGAAAAGTTTCATCCGTCCCACCTTTTAGTCCACACTATCATGAATAAGGTGACACTAAAACTATTAAATACTAAGTTTCGCCCGCGACTGCGACCGCGTGGAATTAAAAAAGTAAGTAGTCTGTGTTCTTCAAGACTATCAACATCTGTAACAATCATCGGATTATTCCCAACCGTCACCCCGCTCTGTCCCCACATGAGAAAAGTTTCATCCGTCCCAACTTTTAGTTCCACTATCTGCAATAAGGTGACAGGAACCGTTATGAAATAAAATAATTTCCAACCGTCCCCCCGTCGCAAAAGGACAGATAAACTTTTGTTCTAACGTGGGGACAGAGCGAAGTGAAGGTTGGGAATAATCTACATTTAAAAGCGGCGTAATTATAGTTATGCGTCTCCTCCTCCGTCAATGAAGGGTAGGCAACGCATCTGCGATCGCGGATGTCTATGGTGGCGGTCGCTTCGCCATTTTGGCGGATTCATGTGGCCGCTTGCTCGTTTGCCACCTTTGTTAAAAAAAAATGCATCGACACAGACAAATTCTCTGATAGTACAAACACTGCCACATTCTAAACGATTTCAAACGAAAAGAACGGTCTTTGTATTTTGTTATATTTTCCATTGAAACTGACAATTAAAAAAGTTATGCCTTTGTTAGAAATTAGAAATTCTTCTTTGACTTTTACAGTTGGAATTGAATTAAAAAGTTTGTTCATAATGTTTATCTTTATAAATAGACTAGCTGTTGCTACGTGCTACGTGAAATTAAAAAACGCCTAGGTTACGCATTAAAAAGCTACGTTATCAGTGAGTAACATAGGCTATATTTTTGAAGTCGCGAGCAACAGCTAGTAAGGAATAAACTTAAAAGCTATTGGAATGATTTTAAAAATTCTTTCACCATTAGTTTTTACTTAGTTAATATAAATTGTTGAGACCGTAATGGTCTACTTCGTAGCGTGCTAGGAACATGCAATGCAAGACAATTTATCTCAGACATCTTGAACTAAGAAATGCTGGCTTTAATTGTATACTTTTTTTATTAGCATGCTTTCGCACGCGACTGCTTTCATCATCATCTCCCCTGCTTTATCCTACTTCCGTAGGGTCGGCGCGCCGGGTTTTCGTCCTCCAAAGCACTCTATCCGTCATTTCAGTCATCATGTCACCTTTCACGCAATCCATCCATCTCTTTCTACGTCTACCTCTACCGGTGTACCTCCACATTCGTAACTAACGTCCGTCTTGTTACGCGACTCCTTCCATGCGGTATTTAAAAAATTAACCGCCTATCTGAAAGTGTATATTATCTGATAACAATCCAACATGTAAAATAGGTGATTTAAATATCGGATTTTGTTACCTTATCTGACAGTGACGTCATAAGCTATCTGAACTTCTATCAGCCAGTGGTAGGATAGGCCCTTAGTATCCCATGTGTTCCAGACTATGACAATCATCGAGATCCGTCCAGTTTAGGATACAAACTAACTAATCTTATGCATTAATAATATACTAGCTGTTGCACGCGACCTCGCCCGCGTGAAATTAAAAAATAGCCTATGTTACTCACAGATAAATTACCTTTCTAACGGTGAGAGAATTTTTAAAATCGGCCCAGTAGTTTTTGAGTTATTTCAATACATACAAAAATACAAATCTTTCCTCTTTATAATATTAGTATGGAAGATAATGTGACCATAATATGACGTTTAAAAGGACATTATTTTAAGAAGCCTTCTTTGACTAAAATATCACACAACTGTGCGATTGTAGATTGTTTCGCAGTCAACTGTTTAGTTGCACAACTCGAGTAGTGTACCTCCATATGATCTTTAGGTATTAAAGCGAGATTACAGTTGTGCGATAGTTTGGTCAAAGGTGTGCTCTTAATATGAGAAGCGAATTATTTGAACGTCTGTTTAATTCGGTCAAAATTAACGTGATATTTAATCTGTAAATAAAATGGTAGGTTTAATTAATAAAATAATAAGAGAATTTCCTTTTACTTAAAGAAAGCAAATATTCAGTTAATAAAACCAAAAGAAATCCCGGCAAAAGGTAATCCGCAAAAATTAAACGACATTTAATTTGAATTGGTAGCGATGATTAAAAAGTTGAAATGGTAGATTAATGTCTATTTAGTTACGTTATCGTCTTAGTAGGTTTTGGTAGCTTTCGGTAGCTTTCGGTAGGATTTGGTAATTTTTGGTAGCTTTTGGTAACTTTTGGTAGGATTCGGTAATTTTTGGTAGCTTTTGGTAATTTCATTGACTCTACTAATACTACTTAAAAACGTATTTTTAGACTTAATAACAACATTAAAACTATAATTAAGATGGTATATAGCATTGTGAGAGATAAAAAATAGATTAATAAAAAAATTCACACATACTGTTTTTAACACGTTGCGTTTTATTTAAAAAACATGAAAAAGGTTTGCTTGTAATCAATTTATTTCCTGACAGATAGATAGTTTTTCGAGATTTATATGTGACAGTTGTTGCTCGCGACTTCGCCTGCGTTAAAAATACATACCCTATGTTACTCACAGATAAATTACCTTTCTAATAGTGAAAGCATTTTTAAAATCGGTCCAGTAGTTTTTAAATTATCTTAATGTATATTTAAATACAAATCTTTCCTCTTAATAATGTCGCGACGTCATCTATTGATGAGTAACGAAAATCATATTCGAGGAATAATCGAGCTGTTTCCAGAATGTTCGATCGCCGCGAGCAGCGAAAATGTTCGCGAAAAGATGTCTCGAACATTCGAAACGGCTTCGAGAGTGTTCTATTATGAAATTTATGTAATTCGGACTATCGAGAAAGTTCTGGAATAAAATGACAAATGAATAACAAAAAGAAGATCGAAATTCAGGGTATAAAAGGGGAGTCAGTCGTGACACGGGGAGTGATACGGTGGAAAGTGAACTGTGAAGAAGTCCTGAGCGAATTACGAAGAAGATTAAGTGACCGCGTTGTTCTGTAAAGTGCGCCGAGTTAGTGATTCTGTGTTTGCGTGCATCGTGTAGTCTTAACGGACTTGTGGGTGCAGTGAATCCCTGTTATCGTAAGTCGCGAATAAATTAACGCAGAAATTTCCAAGGCGTTTTGACTCAATCCCGCACGCTCGTAATAATAATATGACCTTGTGTGTGGAAAGGTTATTTCCAGAGAAACTAGAGATAAGACAAAATGTCATGTCTCATTTGTATTTATAAATTAACAAAGAAAAGACGTATAAAATGTTTCTTTTATTATTTATTTTAGTATCAGTACAAGGGGAGCATATTAATAATCCGTTAGCAAAAGATATCTACGGTGTCTACAATTTAGTTCATATTTGGCCAAAATTGGATAACATACCTAAAGGATGTATGGAGGTAACCTTTTCTAAAGTGAACAGTTCATTTGATTTACCTATAACATGTGAATGTGCTCGAACGATACCGAATTTGGCGTTGATTATACAAGAAGTGACGTCACAGAGGTATTTAATTTTAGTCGACATTTTTAGAGACATTGGAGATTTATACGTTTCTCTGAAAGATGGTTGTCTATGCAATTATAATAAAGCACGAGATCTCTTAAGTAAAATCAACGATAATTATTTAATATATTTTGAAACTAGTGGAGACAAAAGGATTTATTTGTTTAGTAAAATTGTACCAAAGAAGAGTGATGTTGAGGAAATAATCGAGAATTTAACCGATTTGAACAAAGATAACGGAAGTTCTTTGTGTAGTGAATAATTTTTACAATAATGATAAGTAATTTGTTGTAAAATGTGAATAAAATTGGTATAAAAATAATGTGTATATTATTTATAAAAACTATTTAACTACGTCGTAGTCTTTGACTCCAAAAATCAAACAAAAAATGGGACCCACCTGCATTACCTTTCGGATAAAAAAGAATTATCAAAATCGGTCCACTAGCGGCGGTGTTATGCCGTAACACACAAAAAAAAATTAAAAAAAAATATATGGACGAATTGAGTACCTCCTTCTTTTAGGAAGTCGGTCAAAAACTGTTGCGACTTCGTCCTCAGAGAAAAAAAAATATGAAAAACCAAAAACTACGCATCCCTTGGTATGCCTTGAATGGAAAGGTTTTACTTTATTATTTATCTAACGAATATTATAAATGCGAAAGTTACGATGGATGGATGGATGTTTGTTAGCGTTTGTAGCCTAAACGGCTGAATGGATTTTCATGAAATTTGGCACAGGTTGAAGCATAGTCTGGAAGAACACATAGGCTACTTTTTATCCCGGGAATAGTTACGGTTCCCGTGGGATTCATTGATTTAGTTTTTTTTATGTTTACTCGTTCATTCTGCAACGGTTCAAATCTTATTGAAATTTGGCACAGATATAAAACAAAAAATGGAGTACACATGGAATAAAATTCATCCCCGAGAAATGTCCGGCTTCCGACGAATATGTACGTAGCATTTTGTTATTTATCATATATATGGTAATTCGTATGTTTTCTAATACCACGTGGACGAAGTCTAATAATAAATAATAAAATAAAACTTTTTCATCTAATACTCGTTGCACAATATTTAATGCGATAGTAACGCCAAAACGGAATAATTGTGCAACTTTTAATGCATCTGTCAGATGTGTCAAAAATGTTTTAATCTATGATACATCAGCTGTCAAAGTGAAAAGCAAAAAGTTTGTATTAAACCGTATATATTTTAGCTACGATTTATTTCCTTTTGTAATAGTTTGGTATAAAAATCGAAAACTAACTACAAAGGTAAGTTTTTGCTATCTTTTCTTGTTTTTAAAGACCTAAATGATTGATGTGAGGTAAAACAATGTTCATATTTCTTTAGTATGGTAGATGTTTCTTAAAATTGTACATTCAAAACTTACAACGGCCGTATACATTTTTGTTTTTAACCGATTAGAATTATATACTTTTTATATTTCAGAGACATGGTTCCTGTTTTTATACGCAGAAGATTTTAATTTGGCTCGATTTGAAGCATACTGAACGATGGAAAGAAGAAAGAGGTACAAATAAGAGTAACAGTAATAAAAGTGTATAAAACGCTAATGTTTGAAGTGAAAAAAATTGAAAAACTGTTTTTGTTTGTAAAGAATCATTAGTAAATGTTTAATAAACAATGTTAAAATTATATCGGAGTTTCAATTGTGTATTAAGTAAGTTAACTCCTAAACTTAAGAGCGTGTGCACACCATTGACAAAACTTTCGCACAACTGTTTTCTCATTTAGATTTTATCTATACTTCTATACTATTATAATAAAGCGTAAACACACACTTCTTTGTTGCCTAAGATGTCAGCAATCACAGCATATTTTTGAATAATTCCTTTTTTTAATAAAAAGCCCTACACTTCACGCTTTAGGCTATATATTTTCACGCCATTAAACTTAGGCGGTAATTATTTTGGATAAAAACTCTAATGTGGAAAAGAATACATAAGTTGCTGCCAACATCAAGAAAGATTGCTAAGGTTTGTCATGTCATGTCATTTTGACATTTGCTATTGATAATTTGACAAATGTAAACAATAAAATAAGATTTTCATAATTTCATGCGGATGAAGTCGCACGGGAACAGCTAGTTTTATAATAAAAGAGGCCAAACGAGCGGCGGGAATATCGAGGTGGTCAACGACGCCCATAGACATCCGCAACACCAGAGAAACTACAGAGGCGTTGCCGGCCTTTGAGAAAATAGGCTCGCTTTTTGAAGGACCCTAAGTTTTATTGTTTTGCAAATAATGCCGAAGATAGACAGTTTCATAACACGGCTGTGCGAAGCAGAAAGTTCCGCGAAAACCGCACGATTGTGGAATGCCAGCCATCTACATGGTGATGATGATGATGATGATGTGAGGTGCGCACACTACTCGATGTTTAGTTGTGCAAATAAACAGTTGGCTGCGAAACAATCGACAATCACAACCGTCGTGCGATAGTTCAGTCAAAATGTGCGCTCTAAATTACAAGAGATAAACGATAGAAAGATACACAAAGTTGTTATTTTAATTAAAAATGTAAACGTGCAAAAGACAGCTCTTTTGAAACATTTTAATGAAGTAAATTATATTTAAAAAAACAACCTCAAAGTTCTTCACAATTTCAACTTTTCGACGTCTGCTCGCTTTTTAATAATTCATTTAAAAAGAAACATTTTCTTTGGATGAGTTTATAATTTAATTTCACTAATTAACAGATATCCTCGTAGTTTTAACATCCTAGGTTAGAATTTAAAATACTAATATTATAAATGCGAAAGTTTAGATGGATGTTTGTTAGAGTTTGTAGCTTTTTTTTTTTATAACATAAGATGACAAACGAGCAAGCGGCCACCTGAATCCGCCAAAATTGCGAAGTGACCGCTGCCCATAGACATCTGCAATTGCAGAGACAACTACAGAGGAGGAGACGCACATAAAGAGGATATTTCCTCTTACTATGCACCTCCTGCATCGTCTAATCCACTTCCCCTTCCCATCCTCTCATAAGAAAAGGGTGGTAAAGAGAAAGGGACTTAAATTAGGCCTCCGGCACCACACTCATCAGACGAAACACGGCATTGGTTCCATTTCACGCCTGTCTATGTGGTCGTGGTTTTGCTGAGAGCCTTGCAGTGCTAAGATGTTAAAGCGGGCACTACCACTGTTAAAGCTTTAACTGCTGTAATGTAGAGCACATTTTAGAAGACCACATAGTCTTACTAATAACCTAACACCGTTGACTAAACCATCACACAACTGTTTAGTCACGCTTTAATTCCTATATGGAGGTACACTACTCAATTTTAGTGCAACTAAACAGTTGGCTGCGAAACAATTGACAATCACAGTTGTGCGATAATTTAGTTAAAGATGTGCTCGCACTTTTTTTAATTCCGCGCGGCTGAATTCGTGGGCGATAGCTTGTATTCTATGTAGTGATTCAAATAAATATGCTTGTAAACTTTGCTTCATTTAATTCCAATTTAAACACAAACTTTGACAGCATTTAACCGTAATCTAACTTAAGTAAGACTTCAACTTAAGTTTAATTCTATTTTACATGTTATTGCTAAGTAAGATAGGATTTAAGTGTTCTAGGTTTTAACGGGCAGGCGGGATTTTTTAGGGCACCGGTGCGTTCCACCGGAGGTCCAGAAACCCCACCTGTATCACTAGAGGATGGCCACCGAGGGGGTTTTAGGAGGTAAAACCCTACATAACCATATTCCAACCCGGAAACAAGGCATCTTTATTAAGATTTCCACCGCGAAAAAAAAGGTTTAAACGCTACAATTATAAAAAACTTGTTGCTGGCGACTTCCTTGTGGCATTAAAAATAAAATAAAAATACCTATCCGAGTGATAAGATAGCTTTTTAATGGTGAAAGAATTTTTAAAATCAACCCAGTAGTTTTTGAGTTATATACAAAAGTCCCAACTTTAGTCCCTTTTTTCTCCGCCGTTTTCCTTATAAGATAAGGATGGGAAGGGAACGTAGACTTGACGCTGAAGGAGACGCAATGGAAAGGGAAATGTCCTCTTTATGTGCGTTTCCTTCGTCAATCAAGGGTAGGCATCTGCAATTGCCAATGTCTATGGGCAGCGGTCGCTTCGCCATATTGGCGGATTCAGGTGCTTGCTCGTTTGCCACCTTATGATATATTAAAAAAATCATATTATTATAGATTATCTATACTCAAATTATAAAGATATTCACGTTAAAACTACTGGACCGATTTTAAAATTCTTTCACCATTAGAAAGGTAATTTATCTGTGAGTAACATAGGCTATATTTCATTATAATAAATAAATCGAAATACGCTTTAGTTACTAGTATGAACAAGCAAAAAAAATGTTTGAAAAGAAACAAAAAACTGGCTTTAAAAAACATTTTTATTGTTTTAAAATAAATGTTTTTCGAATAAAGAACTTTTTTAATTCCCAACCCGTATAATTCTAACAATGGATCCTTTGAAATAAGTACGAAAGTTGGCAATACTAAGGGAAAACGTCCAGAACTTACAAAAGCATTAAAATGCAATTTAACTTCTAAATTTTTTAATTCTTTTAACAGTGGTAGAGCCCGCTTTAACAACTTCGCACGAATAGGCCCGCTCGCCCGGTGTAATACCACGACCACACAGAAAACAGTCGTGATGTGGAAGCAATTCCGCGTTTCGTCTGATGAGTGTGGTGCCGTTGGCCTAATTTTAGTATCTTTCCCTTTTCACTTTTTTCTTAAGAGGTAAGGATGGGAAGGAAAAGTGGATTTGACGGTGGAGGAGACGCATAGGAAGGGGAAATGTCATCTTTATGTGCGTCTCTGTCAATGAAGGGTAGGCAACGCTGCAATTGCGGATGTTTATGCAGCGGTCGCTTTCCATTTCGGTGGATTCAGGCCGCTTGGTCGTTTGCCAACTTATATTATAAAAAGAAATCAACTATGATTGTCGATTGTTTCGCAGTCAACTGTATAGTTGCACTAAAAATCGAGTATTGTACTTCTATATAAGCTAGGAATCAAAGCGAGACTAAGCAGTTGTGCTATAGTTTAGTCACTTTTGAGCGCAATCTAAAGCTTCATATAAATTTAATTATAACTAGCTGTTCCCGTGCGGCTTCATCTGCATGAAATTATGAAAATTTTATTTTATTGTTTACATTTGTCAAAATGACATGACATTACAAACCTTGGCAATCTTGCTTCCTTGATGTTGGCAGCAACTTATGGTCTCTTTCCCACGTTAAGGTTTTTATCCAAAATATTTACCCCCTGAGTTTAAATGCGTGAAAATATATAGCCTAAAGCGTGACGTAAGTGTAGGGCTTTTTATTAAAGAAAGAATTATTCAAAAATATGGTGTAATTGCTGACATCTTGGGCAACAAAGAAGTGTGTGTTTACGCTTTATTATAATAGTATAGAAGATAGATACTAAAGTTCCTTAAAACGCCACAGACTAGATAATTCAAAAAATTACGTGTTTTATAAAAGCATTATCTTTGGAATAAAATAATATTATTAACCCTTGATCATCCCCCCATCTTGAATCAATCTCACCTCATATCGTTAACTAGCGACCGTCATGTCTTCAATCAGCAATTCTTTGTTTTTTGACCGACTTCCCAAAAGAAGGAGGTACTCAATTCGTCTGTATGTTTTTTTTTTAATGTTTGTCACGGCATAACTCCGCCGCTAGTGGACCGATTTTGATAATTCATTTTTTATCCGAAAGTCTATATTTTACAATTGTTATTACTTTGATGTCGGTGTCAGCCAAGGTATGCAGTGATATTTCTACGTAAGGGTTTCCACATTTTTACCATAACAATTGACAATTGAAAGTATAGTAACAATTAAGTAATGAATCTACATTGACTGACACCGACTTCAAAGTAATAATAATTGTACAATATAGACATAACAGTTACAATAAGGTAGGTTTACTATTTTCAAGTAATTATTTCGTTACTTTTTAGTGTACTGTTTTTTTGAGAATATATTGTTTTAGTGTATTTTGTTTGGAAGTCGGTTTTGTTTTTAATTTCGTAGTGGTCGTGTGAGGTCAGGCCGTACTATATTTCATGATACCACCCATCTACCCTTAAATCACTTCAAGAATTAATTTCCGATCCCCTCAAGGTACCGCAATTATTCATTTATAACGAAAGACGTAATAATGTCAGCCTTATGCTCGGTTTCTGAAGTTTCCATTTATTTTATGATTAACTGTTCCCGTGTGGACTCATTCGCATGAAAATATGAAAATTTTATTTTATTGTTTACATTTGTCAAAATGACATGACATTACAATCCTTGACAATCTTGCTACCTTGATGGCAGCAACTTATGGTCTCTTTCCCACATTAGGGTTTTTATACCAAAATTTTTACCTCATAAGTTCAATGGCGTTAAAATATATAGCCTAAAGCGTGACATAAGTGTAGGGCTTTTTATTAAAAAAGGAGTAATTCAAAAATATGCTGTAATTGCTGACATCTTAGGCAACAAAGAAATGTGTTTACGCTTTATTATAATAGTATAGATTATTAAAAATGACAGCTGTTAAAAACATTACAAAATGTACAGTCGTAAAGAGAAAACATTCGGTACATTTGATTAAAATAATTATACGAATGAGCACG